GAAGCTGCAGCAGGAGCTGCTGCTCTGGGAGCAGGCAGAGAAAGGAGACAAAGCAGCTCTTGTGCCCTGAGACTCTGCAGGTCCTCTCTCCAGCTTGCAGGTGAGATACCAGCACAGCTCCCAGTAGCCAGTGAAGAGCCGGGTGGCTGACAGCCATGTCACCTCTCTGGCAGGGTCTGCTGCAAGAATCCAGGCAGCCCAATGCAGTGACCGTGCAGAGGCCAAACGCCCACGGCAGGAGGACACAGTGGAGCTCAGAAGTGCAGTTACCATGGGCCATCCTGAACCCTCTGCAGCTGGGTCTGCTGAAATCCTCTGCACTCCTTCTGTCCATCACTCTTTTCCCTGCAGCCCCCCAAAGCCAGTGGCAGCTGGAGGCTGCTGCACAGTGACAGCCATTTGGAAGGATGCAGGCGAGCAGAGAGAGCAGCCCCAGCGGCTGCTCCTTGGCAGAGCTCCAGCAGCGATTTCTCACCCCAGTTTCTCGTGTGCTCATTGCATAATTCTGACAGAGGTGTCTGGATTCTACATCTCAGGGATCCTAAGCTCAGACCTAAGTTCCACCCTGATACACCCTATCAGTGAGCAGTCGATGAGTGACCTCTTTTCCTTGTCACACAACGAGCACAAGCGTGGTCACCCTGCACGACTGCTTGACTGTCCTACTAAGGAATCATCCACAACTGCTTCCCTGTCTGATTGAGTTTGTGGCTGTTCCCAACTTGTTCTAGTTCCCACATTTCCCTGGCTTCCTAAGGACGCAAAAATTCAGCCATGGAAAAGCATTCTCATCGGCATCCTCCGCGTCATTGTAATCTCTCAGTGCTGCCTTTCCAGGACGCAGCCTCTCTCCCAGCTCACCTCACTCACCTCAGCTTGGAGTTTCTTCTGACTGTTGTTGCCAGCCATGTAAATGCCCACATTTATTCCTTATCCATGACTGACTGTACAAAGGGGGTCACTTGATCCCCTGCCCTCCCTTTGCTCTTTCCCACCGTTTCCTCCAGCCGGTGGACGAGCTCTCCCTCTGCCACAGCTCCTGCCAAACAGAAACACCTCTCCTGCTTCCCCACATCATTCAAACCCTCTCTCATGGATTTCTTGTCCCCCTGCTCCCAAGCACCCTCCCAGCCTCTGCTGCCAGGATGTATTTCCGAGTGAGTACTGAAACGTCTCCTGCTGCAGAAGCAGTGCTGCACTGAGGATGGGTGCCAGCCTGTTCTGGGGAGAGCCACGGCCCCTCAGGCTGCTCTGTGTGCTGCTTCCAGGAAAACATCAACTAGAAAAAGCCAAGGAATTTTATGCCGAGATTTATTATTAGGAATCACTTTCTTTTACTACTTAACACTGCATTGGGTCAGATGCTCTGCACAGTAACAAGTGACTGTCTTACCCTTGGACAGCTGCAAGACAAAGAGACTAGAGAAGAGTTGTAAGAGAAAAGCAGTTTGTTCCTCCACCCACCAAAAAAAAAAAAGATATTAAAAAAAAAAAAAAGTGGTAAATTCAGGCAGCTCCTCTGTTCTTTACATGCCCAAGAAAAATTTACTCTGAATGTACCAAGTGGATGCATCACATCTTTCATACTAATAATTTATCATTTAAACACTGATAGCAATCATCACAGGAATTTCCTTTTGAGCTTTTGGTCAGATTTTTATTTAATACCATAGCTCCATGAATCCTGCACGTCCAATGAGAAGCACAGCTCTTTGTAGAGAGGCAGATGAAGGTGTCTGCCCCTAGATATATGTCTGAATTTAGTACCAGAATACTTCAACAGGAAGAAAGATTTTCATAAAAGTATTAACTTTTATTTATTAGTCTCAAAGCATGTCAGGTTGCAATGCCACCAGCCACCAATCCTGGTGGCATAGCAGAAAGGTGCTTGTAGATTTATGTTTGAGACAAAAGGGCCCAAATGCTCTGGGCCCCAGTTTGGGGGTTGGACACTTTGGGCCCTTTCTAACAACCCATTTGATGAGCTCTGCCAATGCTTCCAGAATTCCTGGAAAGAGATTTGGTCCATTTTCTGTCTTTAATACATAACCACAACTACAAGTCCCATGCAAGTCAAAAAGAACTCAATAACTGTGCTCACATAACAAGTTGTGGAGCTGCCTCAGAAGCAGCGTCACAACATCCCATCCCCACAGCACGTCGTGCTGCTGCCCACTGACCCTGGCAAAGCCAGGACTGTGTCTCTGAAGTGCTCTGTGTGACCTCTGGGAGGGCTTCCTGCTGAGGGAGCCTGACCACAACTGCAGGGAAAGGAAGAAAGTGTTCCTGACCATCATTGCCTCTCCAAACCACAAAGAACAGACAAAGAGCTGCATCCAAAGCACAGGTGTCGTTCTGTCCATCACCACTTTCCTGTCAGTGCAGCTGGCCACATCAGAGACTGCACAAGCAGCCCAGCAGCAGTGACAGAGTGGCTCTGGTCCCCTGTAAACTGCCCATCTAAGCAAAATGCACAGAGATTTGAAGCTGGGATCCTGCAGCAGGAACAGCAAGGAGCCAACCCAGATGGTGCTTGGCACATTCTCTGATGGCAGTGAACTTCTGTTAGTCCACACTCTGCTCTCTGCCACACCTGCCTGTCTGCAGGGCACCCTGAGAAGTCACCAGCACATTTTGCCACAGCTCTGCTAAGTCCTCCCAGTTCAGCACTTGCACCAAACATTGGAACAGCCACGACTATTGAACACTTGCTCTCTGGGGTCATCCTAAGGCTGAGGCAACCTCCAGCCACCCTGCAGAGCACTCAGAGCAGGAGCAGCCTTCAGGACATGGCTGGCTGTTTCCTGGGACAGCTCAGCCCAAAGCACACGTGCCTGGGCTGGACAGAGAGCACAGGGGAGTGATAAGATCCTGTCCTTAAATCCTTCATGCAGCCCCTGTCAAACAAAACATCAGCTCATCATCTGAGTTACAAAGGCTGGGTGCAGGAAATACTGGAGGAGGGACAAGGTTACACACCTGGACTGTCCCTGTGCCAAGAGCCAAACAAGAGGCACAGAACACGAAAATGGACAGTACAAGGTCAATCAGGTTCTCGTTATGGACATTTCATACAAACCCCAAGAAACTGCCACGGAAGCTGAAGAGCAACAAATACTATCAAGGTCCAAGGAGAAGGGGTTTGGGGAACACAGCATTAAATAACAGAACTCACTGCCTCCAGGCATCACAGAACACAAGGTTCTTGAAGGATTCAACTGTGCAGTTCACAGGACACAGATAACCACACAGAAATGCCAGGAAATGCTAAAGGATGCAAAGCTCGAGACATAACAGCTCATAGCAGGAGCTCACATGGCATGAGATGAGAAGAAACTTGTTCTGGGGCCATCATTTCCTTCCCTCTGGCCATCTCCACTGCTTTGTGTCATGCTGGAACTTCCCTGGATCACAGGTCACACTGCTCACAACTTGCTTTGCAGCAATACTTGATGGGCTCAACCAGCACTGAAGACACGATACCTGCACTGTGCAAGCACTGAGCAGATGAACAGCCTGTGCCCCAAAGAGCAAGGCACAGCCAGCAGGCACTGGCAGAGGAGCAGGAGGAGCCCAGTGACACCACAGTGCTTTCAGTCCACTCCAGTGGCCAGTGCAGGGGCCCTTGGCATGGCCAGGGTCCCACCGGGCTCCCAGGGCACCAACAGGGCACTCCTGACGCTCACCAAACCTCTCCAGCTGCTGCAGCAAAACAGACCGGCACTGCAACCCATGCTGGCAGCCCCCTGCTTGCCCCAGGGACACTGGGACAGTAAAAACCCTGCCAGGAGCAGTCACTGTCACGGGAGGAGGCAGCTGAATGACCCGCACACCCAGCTCCAGCTGCTGCCTGCAGACCTCACAGTTGTCCTGCTGTGTCCACTGAGCTCCCCCTGAGGAGCTGCTCTCTCAGAGCCCTCCTGGGCTGCCCTGGCCGAGCTTCCAGAAAAGCAAGGCTCTCCTCAGGACTCTCAGGGTCCAGCCCTCCAGACTCTCCAAGAGCAGAGCTCTGCTCTGGGGCTCCTGCTCAGAGGGGCCTGAAGTCTCCAAGTCTTTTGCTAAAGGCAGAGGAGGAGCCCACCTAAGAATTCCTGTATCACAACCTCCTACCAGATATACCCTTGACTACCCTTGGGTTCACCTCTCTCCTCGCTGCCTCTCTGCACTGGTGCATGGCACGTCCACCCTCAGAGCCTGCTGTGACAGGAGCAGTCACTTCAAGAGGTCTTCAAGGGGGAGCGAAGCTATTTTACCAACATGCCTGCTCCTGCAGGAAGCTGGGGGCAAGAAAAAACTGGCAGTGACTTTCCAGAGAGGAACTACAGCTCAGAAGAGCTGGCAGAGCCCAGGCTCCAGCATGTCGGTGTCAGCAGAGGGGACAGACACCCCTGATCCCTGATCTGCTGCCAGCAAGTGATGTGCCTTTGCTGGGAAGGACGACCCTCGTCCCATGCACAAACACAGCCTGCCCTGAGCAGCAGAACTCACAGTCCCCTGCACAAACGTGCCTTCTCTGTTAGGGGTCTGCTCCTGCTGCCCCCTGGTTTCAGTGTTCTGGTGGAGATCAAGCAGGGGATGGAGTGGACACCAAAACTGCTCCTTCACTAGAGAAAAAGAGTGGGGGTCTCTCGCCCCTTTGCTCTGAACACAAGGAGCAACTCTGGGAAGCTGCAGGAAGCTAGGAACCAGCTATTTTGTTTTAGAGATCCAATCTGTTACTGGTCTGAAGAATTTCTTGAGCTGCCTTGATGAACCCCTCACTTCCCCTTTCACCAGACGTTTTTACAACCCCCCTCCCTAAGATGTCAGGGTAAACAGCAGATTCCTGGTCCTGAAAGTTGTCCTCTCTTTGGCAGACTGTTTCTTGTGCTGACTGCACACAGGTTCACACAGGGACCAGGCTGCCCCTCCGTCATTGCCCCCTCTTTTCCCCCCACAAACAGCACTCACTGCCACAACACAGCACCTGGACACAGGGCTGCTCTCCCCAGGGCACTGACCTTTTTCTTCCGGTCCCGAGAGCGGTTCCTGCGCTTGCGATTGGATTCCTCCTTCTCCTTCTGTTCCTGCAGAGCCTGAGCCTCAATATCTTTGATTTTCTTCAGCTGCTTAGCTGCTTGAGCCATGGCTGGTCAGACTGCAGTCCCCTCCAGAGCTCACACCTGCACTTTCCACGCAGAAAAATCCTCTGATTCCTGGCCAGGGAAGTCCCTTCCTGTCGCGCAAACGCTGCCGACCCAGATGAGCGTGAAACCAGCAATGGGAGGAAAATCAAAAGCAGTCAGCAAGCCCCAAAGGGCAGCCAATGTCTCCAGCTAGTTGCTAGATGGAGTGTGGGACACCTTTATAAAGCATTAATAATCCCAAATCCAGCTGTTTCAGAGGTTCTACGCACCATTGCAGCAGCCCCTGACTGCGCTGGCACATCCTGCAGAACGTTCTTGTGGGACAAGACGCTGGGCTGGTGCTGTGCTCTCTCCCTCACTGTTTCTCCTGCAGTATGAGAAGAGATGCAGGCAGGCAGCCACAGGAAGGAAAATAACTCCCAGCAATTAATGCACGATGACAATAGAGAAGCAGTGAAAAAGGAGGCCGATGCATTTCATCCGACTCCTGAGTTCTCTGTAGCAATGCCTAAAGAACAGTAACCTGCACGTAGTCAGTCAGGGGCTTTACCACTGCAGTGCTGCTGAGGCAGGCACATATTCCAGGCTCTCCAGTTTTCCTCCTCACAGTCAGTCTCTGTGCAGCGGCTGCATCACTCCCTCGCTCCCCGGGTTACGATTCCATCTCCTTTCAAGGGGAGCAGGAGGGAACGGCTGCATCGGCTGGGAGGCAGCATCTCTGCTCAGAAAACAGCCTGGACTGCAAAGGACGTGCCAAGTACTGGAGCAAAGTGCAGCTCAGCAGCATCCTTTCCTCCTCGCATCTCTCCGCTCCGTGAGCAGTGAGGGGAGGGGAGGGATCTCAGCTGTGAACAGGAGACAGAAACCAAGGGCTCAGTCTGCTCGTTGACTACACAGCAGCAGCAAAGTAAACCCAATCCACCAGCTCCTGCCCACCCAGGCATCACCAGAGCTCAAGTCCTCTCTGAGGATACCCAGGCAAGACGCCCAGAGAGTCAGCCCTGCATTTCACCTGCAGCTGCCTTCCAAAAGCACAAACAATTCCGAGTGGGAACCCAGGGGTCAGGCCTGGAGGAGTAACTGTGGTTCCTGCACATGCTATCAGTGTGGGAGGGGGCCAGGATAAAAGGGGGGTGGGCTCTTCTGTGGCAACTACACCATCAGTTGAGCAAAGCAGATGTTTACCTGCTCAGGCACTTCTGAGCAGCCCTGCCTTAAAGAATAGGGACATTCAATGAACTCAGTGAAGTCAAAAAATGCCTCACTCCGTGGGAAGGCTATTCTGCAGGTGCAGACTCTAATAACCAGTTGAGTGGCCATTCTTGGGGTCTGGATATGCTTGGGCAGAGAACTTTTCAAAATACTGTTCCTGGCCATATCACTGATACAAACCCCCTCTCCCTGCTGCCCTGTGTGTTACTGCATGAATTGCAAAATACCCAAAATACCACCAGTCCCTGCCTGCCCACAAAGCAGCACAGAGAAGTAGGCAGCAAGACTCCAGAGAGCCCCAGCTTCAGACTCCATCTATAAATCAGAGGGATTATTGATCTAATGCCCTTTAGGTACAGCCTGAAAGGCACCAAAAGCAACATCTGCCATTGCCAGAAAAGGAAGGTGCACTTGAGCAGATGAATCACTTTTACCAGTGCAGCTGAGGTGCTTGTGCTTTTCTAGGGCTAGAAACGTTTCCCTGTTCAAACTCATTTCCCTTATCACCTTATCCAGAGCAATATTGTATTCTTCAGCCCCTGACTGGATCCCTGTTATCTGCAGCTGTACATCTACTGTCAGAGCTTCCAAACAGTGCTACCCCATAACATCCCAATTCCCTTTTTACCTTCCTACTGCACCAACATTTGCTCCTTGGACTCACTGAGCCCTGTGCAGAATTTGTGATGAAGGTTCTTGAGGACAAGGATCAGGTTTCCACGCAGATCAAAGTGCCTGTCTCACAGCTGGATAGACAGAGATGATCAAGAGTGTCTGCGATGGCCTCTAAAGACACTGGTTTTTTCAGTGCTTTCCTTTGTCCCCAGCCATCACCTGCTGCCTCCTTGCTGCACATCCCCACCCACTTCTGATCCCCTTCTGAGGACCAACTCCTGCGATTGGCTTTGCTCTCTTTGTGTTCACTAACACAAAGCAAAGGAGGACAAGGACACTCCAAAAGCAGCTGCAGCCTTGCCTACTTCAGACTGCAGGAGATTTTTGTCAGGAGGGAACACACAGCACCTTGAACCTGCCCCCTGGAGAACAGCTCCAGCTCCTCCCAGCAGGGCTGACTGAAGCCCTGGTTCAGGAAATCTGCCTTCCAGTAACAGTTCAGTTCTTCCCATGTGACACCCTTTTTCCTTTCCCCCAAGATTCCGGGGGGAATTTCACCCCTACTGAATTCTACATTAGCAGCTTTTGGCAGCCTTCGAAGCGATGCTGAGCTCTCTGAGGTGGCAGCAGCAAGTGCTGCCTCCTGAATGGCCCTCGGTGTTAATGGTGGTTGTTTTAGAAACATCTCTCCTGGGTCTTGACAGCCTGATTTAAAAGTCAACTAAACTGGAATTGGGTACCTCTGCCACACAGGTGAGATTGTTCTGAGCTGGGGCTGACACTGTGCTCACTCAGGAGGCATTTGGCCTGTGACTGGTATCAACCTCTCCGTGCTGTAGGTGTATGGTTGGTGGAAAGGGTCCCCAGAGATCTGCTGCACATAAAGCACTGTCTTCAGCACTCGTGCTGTTTCAGCAAGGACTCAGGACAGGACAAGTGGAAAATAGACTTTGCAATTTCACTTAACTCACCATGTCTTTTTTTGTCCACCAGTGATTTTTATCTTCTTTGAAGAAGTTGTTTGGGAAATATCCAGAACTATAGATGTGTCATATCTTGTTGCTGCTTGTTCCTATTGGATAAAATGGGAAAACAGAGGATGACAGAATTTCAGTAAACAGACTTTCTCCTATAGCTGGAAGTACTATAGGCATCTATTAGCCAACATGTGAGTAGAAAAGGAATTTTTCAAGAGCCTTATTTAATTTTTTGGCACAGAACACCATGTTTATCGCTTTTCCCTTGAAAACAGATTATTTGTACTATGATAACTCTCTGTTATCTCAGTCATAGACTGAGATTCTGCCATGTGACACAAATGACAAACATACTGACTACAGAGTCCCTGTCTAAAGAGTTCACAGGGTAAAGTATTTGGCAAGGGAGAACAAACAGATACCGACGGGAACCTTTGCGAAAATTATCACACCACATGAACGAGGTTGTTACGTGCCAGCCCCACGTACAGAGCTGTCCAACAGAATAGAACCTCCCATAAGGAAGGAAGCTCAGGAACAAATTCCTGATTCTCTCTGCAAGGCACTGCAGCTGTTTCAGGAGATTAGGCATGTAGCTGGAGTCCTGCCTTGCTCTAGGTGAAAATCAATGTTTGGTGAAGTCGCTGAGACTCTCTGTATTCGGGGCAAAAGGATTTTACATTCAAAGCTCAACTTCAGGCAGCTATTTTTAGGTAAATTATTCTGGCTGACAAGCTGTGAAGATAAAAGATGCTGCAGGCCTCACCTCAGCTGCTGTAAACTCGGTGTGCCTCAGTCAGTCTGCATTCCTCTGTTACTGCAGAGATCGGATGGATCTCAGCGAGGAGCTCTTTCCCTGAGCTGGGAACCTAATTAAGATGGTTCTCTGCTTTTTAGCTTGTTCTGAATTATCTCACTGATGAGCTTTCAGAAATCCCAGAACCCTCGAAGATCGTTCTCCATCCAGCCTCTTTCAAGAACCACAACTCCCAGACAGGAGTTTGTTGCTGCAGGTTGCATTTGAACTCTTCCCTGCTTATTGAGAGCTGCTAACAGACATTTTGGTCCACCCATCAGCTAATTTAGGGCAAACTCTCCCCCTGTCCAAGATAGGAGCAGAGCCTGCAGCAGCAGCTGTTCCTACCCTGCTCTCAGGCACCAAAGGTTCTTGCACTTCAAGACAGCCACATTTCAACCGATTTGGGTTGGCAACTCTCTCAAAAAAACAACCAACCAACCAACCAACCAAAAACCACCCAGCAAACCAAATCCCTTTCCCCTACTTAGTCACTCTCTCAGGGTAGGATTTATCATCAGACTGGCCCAAACAAGGGGGGGGGGGTTGTTTGTTGTTGTTTTTAAATCAACAAGCAGTTAACAGTGCAGCCTATTTGACCAAATAATGGTTTTTAGAAATAGTTTTACCTTCTCGAGGACATCCTTGTGAGGGCCCATCTGTGGCAAAGCCCTTGGGAGGTTCCCGTGGGTGCTGGGTGTTCACTCAGCTCCAAGCTTTTTGTTTTTCTTCTTAATCTTTCTCTGATCAGCAACTCCAGAGGAACAGTAACATAGAGATCTCCTAAGTGAACTCCAAGTGTCACCCCTCTTCCAGGTGAAAAGGCCAAGAGGCAATCACATTCCCAGGCCCGAGGATCAGGGGCAGCATTCACCGCTCACAGGGAAGAAAACAAATCCACACGCACAACTGACATCCAAAATGGCTCAACATAATTTATTTTTTATGTTAAAATGTACAGAGTTCTTTTGAAAGTACTTGCTAGAAAGGGGAAAAAAAAGTGATATTACATACAAGGAGAGGAAGGGAGACCATCCAGCCAGGAGCGTATGACATGGAGAATTACAAAGGCATCGAGGTACCCCCTTCCCCTTAGCTTACAAGTCACCATGAACAAAGTACAAAGAGGTTACAAAACAGGAAAAGCAAATATAAACAGACAGGAATAGACTCAGCTTCATTTGTACATGCGGCTTTTAGAGGCATCTGGAGCTCCTATTCACACACTCTAGAGATCTCTTTAAAGAGAATTTTATCTTTCTTAAAATAGTTTTTAATATTCTACAACAAAGATAAAAAATTTTAAAGATGGAATGAAATGAAAAAGCTCTTATTTTTAAAAGGCATCAAAGTCACTAACTGTGAGATTTTTTTTTTTAATTTCTTTTAGAAGATTACCCAAGTTATCTTGCTAAAAATACATTTTTTTTTTTAAACAGAAGTGAAAAAATGGTAGGTACCAATATTACTGCGTTGGATAATTTCTTTTTATATATAGAAAAGAACTTTTTTTTCTACAATAGTTCTACAGTCACAAAGGCTTGTGGAAAAGGGAGCTGCCCAATTGATAAAAAAACCCATACAAAACCAAACCAAACATAACAGCAAACAAACTAAATTCACGGCCCTCATTTCAACAGCTTCTCCTCCTGTCTCAGACCCACCCCCACCCCCAGGAAGCAGCGACACAGCTGAAGATCTAGGAAGAGAGGGCAGCACAGTGCGCTTTCTACACGGGTTATTTGGAACTGGAATAGTATATACAGAGAAATGGGGTCCTACACAGCCTTGTACATGCTCAAAATTAAACAGAAATAAAAAGTGGAAGTCCTTTGAATTCTGCTTTTCATGGTTAGCAGTTACTGGAGGAAAGTCCATTTTAGTGCATCTGAAAAAACCCCAACTTTCTTTTAGACTCTTTTGGTTTAAAAACAAAAGAAATTAGTCTTATTAATGTGTCTGTATCTCTACTTCATATACAATAAAAAAAGAACTTTACATTAAAGGGTGTCCCTTTTTGTACTGGGTGACATGCCAGCAGTGTAGCCAAAAAGAATGTAAATTGGATTATGCAGTAACAAACAGCAAAATCCTGCCGCCTACGTCCTGCTCCAGTGTTGGGACGGTTTCACTGCTGTAGAACAGGCCGATTCCCTTCTTTGCCCACACTAGGTCAAACGGGTGGCTATTCCTATGAAATGGGTATCAAACACAGTGGGAGAATCAGGGAACACAT